CTTTACAATGCACTTGTGAAGCTATTTTACTTCCATCTGATGTGTATTTACTATGCATGGTTACAAATGGTAATTGTTAATGTCGAATATGTGAAGGTTAATGTTGTACAACTTGAGAAACTAACTTGAAGTGCTCGATAGTAGCCTTTGGCTATACACAATTAGTTTATAGTGAAATCAAACTATGGTGTTCTGGCCTTTCCATAGGTCAGGTTTTTTGTCTTAGTTGGATTCAAACGGAGCTACTCTGCAGCAGCTGAGGATCGACACCTCTCCAGTACTGGATGGCGAGCCTGAGCCCAAGGAACCGAACTCAGTGGTAGCTAGTAACTACACTGGTTACAAGACATTGAATTGAACAGGACACTGAACAGACTTAAGACATGAACGCTTGAGCTCAGTGAGGTTGGATGGAGAGCGTTTGTGAACAGCAGTTTTCAGTTCTTTCCACAGATTCTTGATTGGATTCAGGTCTGGACTTTGACTTGGCCATTCTAACACCTGGATATGTTTATTTGTGAACCATTCCATTGTAGATTTTGCTTTATGTTTTGGATCATTGTCTTGTTGGAAGACAAATCTCCGTCCCAGTCTCAGGTCTTTTGCAGACTCCATCAGGTTTCCTTCCAGAATGGTCCTGTATTTGGCTCCATCCATCTTCCCATCAATTTTAACCATCTTCCCTGTCCCTGCTGAAGAAAAGCAGGCCCAAACCATGATGCTGCCACCACCATGTTTGACAGTGGGGATGGTGTGTTCAGGGTGATGAGCTGTGTTGCTTTTACGCCAAACATAACGTTTTGCATTGTTGCCAAAAAGTTCGATTTTGGTTTCATCTGACCAGAGCACCTTCTTCCACATGTTTGGTGTGTCTCCCAGGTGGCTTGTGGCAAACTTTAAACGACACTTTTTATGGCTATCTTTAAGAAATGGCTTTCTTCTTGCCACTCTTCCATAAAGGCCAGATTTGTGCAGTATACGACTGATTGTTGTCCTATGGACAGAGTCTCCCACCTCAGCTGTAGATCTCTGCAGTTCATCCAGAGTGATCATGGGCCTCTTGGCTGCATCTCTGATCAGTCTTCTCCTTGTATGAGCTGAAAGTTTAGAGGGACGGCCAGGTCTTGGTAGATTTGCAGTGGTCTGATACTCCTTCCATTTCAATATTATTGCTTGCACAGTGCTCCTTGGGATGTTTAAAGCTTGGGAAATCTTTTTGTATCCAAATTCGGCTTTAAACTTCTCCACAACAGTATCTTGGACCTGCCTGGTGTGTTCCTTGTTCTTCATGATGCTCTCTGCGCTTTAAACGGACCTCTGAGACTATCACAGTGCAGGTGCATTTATATGGAGACTTGATTCCACACAGGTGGATTCTATTTATCATCATTAGTTATTTAGGTCAACATTGGATCATTCAGAGATCCTCACTGAACTTCTGGAGAGAGTTTGCTGCACTGAAAGTAAAGGGGCTGAATAATTTTGCACGCCCAATTTTTCAGTTTTTTATTTGTTAAAAACGTTTGAAATATCCAATAAATTTCGTTCCACTTCATGATTGTGTCCCACTTGTTGTTGATTCTTCACAAAAAATTACAGTTTTATATCTTTATGTTTGAAGCCTGAAATGTGGCAAAAGGTCGCAAAGTTCAAGGGGGCCGAATACTTTCACAAGGCACTGTACACTGGTTACAAGACATTGAATTGAACAGGACACTGAACAGACTTAAGACATAAACGGATTTGCAGACACTGAAACAAAGGACTGAATTTGATTTTATTTTGTTTTGTACGAGCGCTCATCCTCAGTTAATTCCTTTTCCAATGAATGTGAATTTTTTTCTCCATTCATTTAAAATATAAAATTCAACTGTTTTACCATTAATTGTGTTGGTTGTTTCACTGTAGTTATTCATTTCTTGGCTCCCACGAATCTGGAAGATTCTGATCAGAGAAACTCCCTCTTGTACTGGGCTTTGTAGTGAAAAAAAATACCATAGTCACTGGTCACAGAAAAGTATTAGACAATTTATAACACTAGCAAAGAGTGTTGTACTTATAAAAGTGATTAACCTTTTTTCAGTCATAGATTAACATTGGCTCATAATTGATATAAAATGAACAAATACAAAATAATTGGAGTGAAAAACCAAGAGCAGTGTAGATGTTCCTGAGTCCTTTTGCTGTTGGTCATTCCAGGCTTGTAGTCAAAGGTTTGTTCTGACATCAAATATCTGTATTCATTCATACTATTTGAAAAAGTCAGTATGTATTTTGCTGTTGTTAAAGAAAAAAAACACAGCAGTAAGGAGGACCTGGATTTATGTGTGTCAGCAGTGCTTCAAGCTGTGGATCACATCTGTGTCTGCCCACTGTCTGCATTTCTCAGCCATCTTAGCAGACTCTGCAACAGCACAAGCATATGTATTTAATAACAATAAATAACCTAATCAAACTTTCAGAAATTATTCAGCATTTACATACCTCTGTACAAACACCATGTTACCTTAACTAAAGAGTTGACATGAATTATGAGCTTTATTTTAAATAAAGAGCTTCGTGTCTACTTTGCTGGCTGTTAGCATGCCGAAGCCTAATACTGTATAAGGCTTCAACATGCTAAGTGAGCCGCGATTCTCTTATAAAAGTCATTCAGACCGTTCAAAATTTATTCAGTGTTCACCTGCCTAAGTATAAACACAGTGTAACCTGAACTAAACAGTTCATATGAATTGTCATGAGATTTACTTTAAATAATGAGCTTCGTGTCTACTGTGCTAGCCGTTAGCAGCCTATTGTAGTGTGTCTACTCCGCTAGCTGTTAGCACCACCGAACTCCTTTGTGCTGTACTGTGCAAGCTAATAGAATTAATTAGCCATGACTTGATTATAAAAGCGATTGAGACCATTCAAAATTTTTTCAGTGTTCACCTGCCTGAGTATAAACACAGTGTAACTTGAACTAAAGTTTTCACATGAATTATCACGAGCTTTACTTTAAATAATGAGCTTCGTGTCTACTGTGCTAGCCGTTAGCAGCCTATTGTAGTGCTATGAGGAGGTGAGCCACTGTCTCCTGCAAAATAAATTGATATAAGCTTACCTCGCGACAGTTCCATTCTGATATAATACTTCTTCGGTCAGGCTTCATCAGAAAAGTACAACGTGTTTGAGAAAAAAGGCATTAAGCTGCTGTCTAGCAGAGCAAGTTCTCTGTGTTTGAAAGAACAGCCGTGTTGTCACCATATTCACCGCAGAGCATGTGAATGAACGGCGGTTTGCTGTCGGTGCACCCACTGCAATGTAAAAAACCTCCTGGTCAACAATTGACAATTGAAGAAAATCTGTAAGTCCTATCAAAACAATGTGAGCAGCAGGAGGCTTCAACAAAAATGCTGATCACCTCTATGTCAAGATATTCCAGAAAATGAAGAAGCAGTGGAGATTTACAAATGCCCCAGCTTTTGCTTTGAAGGGATTTTCTGAATCGTTTTTTTCAATGGCCGTCTATGGCACAGTGAGATGGCACTCTCTCTGGAATGTGCGATGTTACGCAAATACCATTCATCCCATCACAATAACAATAGCATAGATAGATTGTGACAATTTTCTCTACCATTTTCATCCATTATATGTGTATAAAGTGTAAGGATGGCAGAATAAGAGCAGAAAAACGGGCAAGAAATTGTTGAAAAACCACAGACAGACCAGCTAGAGCGGGGAGTCACGTGACTCAGAGGGTGCCTATTCAAGTCAGTGGAGCCATTCAAAGTGAATGAAGAAATATGCAAAATATAAATGTTGATTATAAAACAACGGTAAAAGATATCAAGAGGATTGTTGTACCATTGGTAGCTGAACTTCTCACGAGTTGAATAGAGTTGAAATACTGTTTCTAGCCCAAGGTATGCCGGAGATATTAAGGTTCAAACTTTCCGATTCATTTCCAATCAGAGCTGAAGATTTGCTGAATAGTTATTAGTTGAAATGGTGTATTTAGCTGAAGGTATTCTGAAGATATTAAGATGTGAAAATTTGTCCCATTCATTTCCAATAGGACAATTTTTGTGAAAAAAGCTGAATTTATTAAAAAGTATGAAAGTTATAAAAAAAGTTGAGTACATGCCATAATGTCCTCAAAAAGCTGAACAATTTGATACCAGAATGGGTTGTCTAGCTGAAAGTATGTGGGAGGAGATGAGTGGCGAAAAACATATGGAAGAAACTATAATGATTTGGAAAACAAGAGTGTGGCTGCATAGCATCCACACAATAATAATAGTAATAAAAATGGAAAATGAGTGTGGCTGCATAGCATCCACACAATAATAATAGTAATAAAAATGGAAAACGAGTGTGGCTGCATAGCATCCACACAATAATAATAGTAATAAAAATGGAAAACGAGTGTGGCTGCATAGCATCCATACAATAATAAAAATTGGAAAACAAGAGTGTGGCTGCATAGCATCCACACAATAAAGAACAGGATAACATAGTATGGATGCTTTTCAGCATGGTCATCTCAGGGGGAGGCTCCTTCAGTCCCTATATCACACAGTGGGGTGGACTGAGTGACAGCACTCAGTTTCCATTGTCAGTGAATGGGCAACTGTCAATAACCCAGGGCTGTGTCTGTGTATGTGCTCAGAGGGCTCAGCAGTGCAGCTGTGCACTTTGGCCACGAGGAGGCTCAAATACAGTCGACAGGCATTCTAGCACTCACAATAGTGAAGAAACTTTAATTTACCATATTCCTCTGTCCAAATTATGATATGAATCAGCACCACAATCTAATCAATTGTTCCATGGCCCATACCCTACCTATCCAGAACATTTAATCCAAATCTGTTGGCTACTTTTTGAGATATGCTTTTAACAAACATATAAAGAAGTACAAACAAATAAATGCTGGCAAATACATAACCACCACCCTTGGTAGAGGTTTTGATAAAAATAATAATGTTAGAACATTTTAATAAAAATCAGATTCTTCTCACCAGCTTGGTGTTAGGTATCTTTCTGGGCATGGGTACATCCACTATGGGCAGCTCAGCGTATCTGGGGTAGGCCTGGGCCATGCAGTTGCTGGGTGGACTGCCTTCAGGGATGATGGCTATGATCTTCACTCTCTCACAACCCTTGACAGAGCAGAAGGCATACTGCTCCTTGTCATTATGGGCCTGTATCCTCAGGAAGAGCAGACTGCAATACATACAGTAAACCTTTAGATGTCATGCACTTCCTCTGATAGTACCACAGGAAAAATGACATTGTGAAATTTAGTTTTCTCTTTGCTAACAAATGAAATTACAGTAGTGAGGACATATAGGACCTATGCTCATGTCATCATGAGCTGACATGAGCAGTCTTCTGACCTACTGTTATAGACATGTCAGCTGTTACAGTAAAATCTTATCAAAACTAATACAAACTATGGTAATGACCACTAGAGAATTGTAGTAAAGCAGAATAACCCTTTAATTTGAATATATAGTGGGTTCAGAAAGTATTCAGGGCCTTTCAAGTTTTCCACATTTTGTTAGGTTTTAGACTCATCTTAAAGCTACAAGCAATATTGTTCATATATTCTTCTTTTTAGTAGAATTATGTGCCCCCTCAATTACATTACTTCGATGCCCCCCAGCGGAATGTGTTGTAGTCTCCACTAACTTAGTTACTGTATTTTCCCTCGGGACTCTTGCTCTTATCACCCCGGTTTGGCACCTACTGGAGCTGCATTGATAGTTATGAGTTATTTGCATTATTTGCATGCCTCTTTCTCTTCAAATGTAGAGTACCTACCTGTATTTACAGTTAACATTAAGCAGGGCAGTCAAGTCGGTGAGATACACTATTTTAGTGCCCAGCTGAATACTGCCCAATAGCTTGGTGAATTTCTCTCCAAACTGTGACACTGTGTAATGGTGTCATGCTCATGGGTGAAGCATGGAGCCAGCAGGGAGGTGGGGGGGTGGGGGGTGGAGGTGAGTGATTCTAGTCTCATGCTAGCATTAGCTAGATTTTGAATGAATCCTTGTTGTAGCTTTAAAATGGATTCAGTTCATTTTTTCATCAATCTACAGTGAAAACAGTTTTTTGGACTGTTTTGCTAATTTATTGCAAATGAAAAAGCCATGTGATCTCTCTGGGGCAGTAGATCAAGCCAACACAACATTGTCAGTAAGGATCTCTTAAGTTGAGTGTGTCACTGTGTCTGACCCAGTGTCTTCCTCCCAGTAGTAGTATCCTCTGGACAAGTGGGAGTGGTTGACCTTCTCCTTCTGTGCTGTCCTCATGAAGATGCCGGTCTTGCGAGTTTGTTTTGTCAGGTGATTGTGGATGTCAGAGATGATAGTGAAGTTGGTGCTTTGTGGGTAGCAGAGGCCCACGCTGATCCAGTCATTTCTGAAACAAAACAAGCAGAGCAATATGTATATTAATTTTAGAGCAAAGCCTTTTCTCACCTCTAAAACACATAGTAATGCCAAACATGATTATTTCTATCTTTGTCTAATCACATGAAAATCACATGAACTGTAAAGTCATAAAATAAAAATGGAAAACATTTTGAGTTTTTAGTGCTGGAAAGGCATTTGAAGACTAGGTTGTTCTAATCCATTAGAAAAGTTTGGTTGCCACTGTAATTCTTTTTAAATTGTTGAAATACATCTTAACTTTGCACCGCTAAATACTCAGATATCCTGTATAGAGAGAGAGAATCTTTATTGTCATTATGCATAGCACAACAAAATTTCTTCCAGCAGCTCTCGTCTTAAAAGGCACATTATTTAAATAAATAACGCAAGAATTGTACAGTCAATATAAGAATTAGTGATGCACCGAAATGAAAATTCTGGGCCAAAACCGAAACCGAAAATTTAGGATGCATTTGGCCGAAAACCGAAACGAAACCGAAAATGGCTTCTTTTAAAAACTTCAAATTTTTAAAACACGCTTACTCTATAATTGTGTGTGTATATACAGTGGGTACAGAAAGTATTCAGACGCCCTTAAATTTTTCACTCTTTGTTATATTGCAGCCATATGCTAAAATCATTCAAGTTCATTTTTTTCCTCATTAAGCAGGTTTTTCTTTAGGAACAAAAGTTGCTCCGCTTTTTTGGCTGGAGAGACGGTTCCTCTTCTCATTAAGCACATGAGATGCTGCACTGAAGAGTCTCTCACCGCTGACATGCTTTGTCGTTCATGGGGAGACACGTCATATGACAGCTCCAGCGTGAGTGAAACCTAACCTGTGCTGCGCCAGGATATGATGGGCGGGGCCGGGCGGGGCATTTTTGGCGACTTTTTTTTATTCCGGCCCGAAATAAAAATGGCCTTTTCGGCTGAAAATTTTCGGTGGCCGAAATTTCGGTGCACCCCTAATAAGAATATGAACAGATTAAAATGAAGATGTGTAAGACCTAATCAGGTCAACGGCATATTAGCAGCAGAAGAATATAGTCCCATTCTAAAGTGCAGCTCAGTGCAGATCTCAGTCTTTAAGAAGAGGTGAGCATGGGTGTGCAACTGCAGGAGTCCAGTGTTCTATCTGTAACTGTCTGTGGGGGGGACGTAGTGTGTGTGTGTGTGTGTGTGTGTGTGTGTGTGTGTGTGTGTGTGTGTGTGTCGGGGGGGGGGGGGGTGGGAGTTATAGAAAGCCTGGGGATGAAGCTATATATTACAGGTAACAGAAGAGAAAGCAAGCGAGTCATAGAATGACAGCTACAGTATTGTACAATTTGCGCTTCATCGTCATATTTATATCCTCTTCAGTAAACTGAGGAACATGATTATCATCCCCTACTCTGCCCTTGGATAAACGACTCCTTGTCCAACAGGAAGCAGAGTAAGTCAGAGTGGGGGACCACCGTCTCTGACCCTCTGTCTCTCGGCACTGGACCTCCAAAGGCAGTGTGCTCTCTCCACTGCTCTACTCCTTTACCATGACTGCGCCCCCCTGAGTGACTTCCTGAGTCAGTCTTTTTAAGTTCACTGATGACACCACATTAATCAGTCTTATCACTAACAGTGATGTGTGCCTACAAGGATGTAGTGGATCTGTCTCAATTTGGTCAAAAGTCAAGGTCAAAGTGTTTATTTGTCATATGCACAGTTAGGAAACATGTTTCCCTGTACAATGAAATTC